CAGACAGGATCCATATACCCAAATCCAAATGAAAGCTTGTAGAGTTTGAGACACTTTAAGTGTATCTAATCTGATTCACTTAAATATTAAAAAATGATTATAATTGTAAAGTGGATTGTATTGGTTGGGAATTGAACTATCCATGTACTTACTTATGGAGGCTGGACATCTGTGACTCTCCAGTCACGCTGTGCTGCTCTTTCTGTTTCCAGCTGGAAACTGGGCTATTTTAAAGGTCACGGTAATCGGGAGAAGGTATGCATATCTATTTTCAAAAACCTATGCCTCACACACTCTTTGAAGGGGAGATCTTTTCATCCTCCACCAAACAGAGAGTGATTTGGAAACAAGACCATTTCCAATCCCATCAAGGGTTGGCTCTAGGGGTGCCTGGTTTCTGAGGCATCAGAGAGGTTCTTGTGTTTGGGAGCAGGTGGCTTAGTTCTTACCTCCATTGCAGGGTGGGATGGAAAGAGGCAGGCAAAGCCTGAGCCAGCAGCAAGAACCAGGCAGTATCAAGAAAAACGGAGACTGAGATACTTGCTAACACTTTGAATTGCTCCTGCCCAAAGCTTGTTCCCTGAGGTTTGTTACAAATTGAGTGAAATTAATCCATTCCTTCCATTTTCAAGCAAGTAAAAAAAACAAACAAACAAACAAAAAAAAACACCATAAAGGATTCGCTTGCTGATACTGCATCAAAGGGAGGACAGTAAATTCATGTGAGTCGGCAAAGAACCCCAAGAGCTCTTCCCCTCTGTACCAAGGGGAAACTTTACTCCTATTAGGATGGTTTGAAGGGGAGAGGGAGAGTACTGTTGAACTCATGAGAGAGTATGAAAGCAAGTGTATGGGTCTACAAGCAACCCTCTAAATGGCATAGATGGTGAAGAAAATGCATTAGATGTATTTTTAAATGATTTCCAACATTTTGTTATTAATACATTTCACATATAGAAAAGTTGAAATAATTATACAGTGAATATCCATGTAACTACCACCTACATCACATACCTAACTATGTATCTCTCTATAAATCCTTTAATAAATCTTATTTTTAATGCTGTCTAAATAAATTACAGACATCTGTATACTTTATTCTAAACACTCCAACATATATATCAGTCAATCTTTGTTAATAGTTTAAAAAAAATTTAGTCATGTTTATTGAGGTATAATTACATAGAGTACAGCATACTTTTTAAGTGTGCAGTCCTATGGGTCTTGACAAATACTTACAGTCGTGTAACCACCACAACAATGAAGATATAGAAGAGTTCCATCACCCCAGACATTCCTTCATGCCCATTTGGAGTTAATCCCTTTCCCCAGCCCTTGTCAACCAGTGATCTGTTTTCTGTCCTTATCGTTTTGGCTTTTCCAGAATGTCTCATAAGCTGGGTACAGTAGCACATGCCTAAAGTCCCAGCTACTCGGGAGGATGGCTTGAGCCCAGGAGTTCTGGGGTATAGTGTGCTCTGCTGACGGGGTGTCTGCACTAAGTTTAATATCAATATGGTGACCGTTTGGGAGTGAGGGACCACCAGGTTGCCTAAAGAGGGGTGAACCGGCCCAGGTTGAAAACAGAGCAGGTAAAAACTCCTATGTTGATCAGTAGTGGGATCCTGCTTGTGAATAGCCACTGCACTCCAGCCTAGGCAAGTGCAATAGCAAGACCCCAGCGCCAGACGCAGTGGCTCACGTCTGTAATCCCAACACTTTGGGAGGCCAAGGTGGGTGGATCGCCTGAGGTCAGGGGTTCACGACCAGCGTGACCAACATGGAGAAACCCCGCCTCTACTAAAATACAGAATTAGCTGGGCATTGTGTTATATGCCTGTAATCCCAGCTACTTAGGAGGCTGAGGCATGAGAATCGCTTGAACCCAAGAGGCAGAGGTTGCAGTGAGCTTAGATCACACCAAGGCACTCCAGCCTGGGCAACAAGAGTGAAACTCTATCTCAAAAAAAGAAAGAAAGAAAGAAAAAAAAAAAAAAAACAAGACCCCATCTTAAAAAAAAAAAAATCTCATAAACGGAATCATACAGTATGTAGCCTTTTGAGTCTTGCGTCTTTCACTTAACATGATACATTTGAGATTCATCGACGATATTGCATGTATATTTGTTCCTCTTCATTGCTGAGTAGTATCCCATTATTGGATGTATTCTTATACAGTATAGTTATTTGCAAGTGGTAAGATCTCTAATCACCAAAAAGCATGAGTAAACATGGTCATCAGAGGGGACAACCCCCGAGTTCTGGGGCACCCCCATTCTATCCATAGCTCTGGTCCTCTCTCAGGGGAAGCTCTGAGCAAACGAGGGACTCTGAACCCTCTAAGTCCCACTTCACCTCATCTGTACCCTGGCAATATCATCAGTGGCAACTACGCAGGGATAGTTTATTTAATAAGCAGTAAATGATTATGATTCACAATGTATTAGGCCAGTCATCAACCCTACTTTTTCTTTGACATTGTATATGATTATACAACCTGTACACAAAAACAGAGATCTTTCCCCCCATTTAAGACCTGAGCCAGGATGACACAGACAAGCAGAGGCAGGAGGATACAGAAGAACAAGGATGGGAAAAAGGGGAGAGACACTATAGTGGAGGCTGTAATGGTTCTGTCAAGCTAAGACCCAGTTGTGGAGAAACCAGGAGTCCCACTAGGTTTGAAGAGCTTTCTGGCTGTCTGGTTCTCCCACTCCATTTTCTTTCCCTACCTTGAGTTAAAAGTCTGTGTTTTCAATCTAAAACAATAATATCCTGCACACAGAAGGAAAAGAATTAAAGAATATCTTGATCTCTTAAGAAAAGCATATAGTTTGACTTCATGTTTTTAACCCAGCTTTTAACTGAGTATCCCAGACATCGTTATAATTCCCTCAAAGGACCAAAAAAAAAAAAAAATTTTTTTGATTTTCTTCTATTTCCCCACAACAGTTAAAAAATGAAGATACCGGGTTTTGTTTGTTTGTTTGTTTGTTTTAAGATGAGAAGCATAATCTTCAGGGTAAGGTTACGTATTTTTTTTTCCTTCACCCTCACTCCCAATGCTGTCTCTATTTCTGTCATCTGAGAAGGTGATGTGGGGCACGGAGAGTCCCAGCTCAGGGTATGGGACTTGTTTCCTGGTCTTGCCCCTGCTCATCTGTGAGGCATCAGTCAGACCACTCACTGTCTCAGTACAGTCAGTACGTGAACATTCCTTTGTGTCCAGGCCAGAGTTCGTTCCTGGTTTCCTATCCACTCCTTTTCTCTTACTTTTTTTTTAGACAGAGTCTTGCTCTGTCGCCAGGTTGGAGTGCAGTGGCATGATCTCCACTCACTGCAACCTCCACCTCCCGAGTTGAAGCCGTTCTCTTGCCTCAGCCTCCCAAGTACTTGGGACCACAGGGGCGTGCCACCACGCCCAGCTAATTTTTTGTATTTTTAGTAGAGACGGGGTTTCACCATGTTGACCAGGATGTTCTTGATCTCTTGACTTCATGATCTGCCTGCCTCAGCCTCCCAAAGTTCTAGGATTACAGGCGTGAGTCACTGCACCCGGCCCTCATTTCTCTGAGGGCAACCTCTCCTTGCACTCTGCTGCCTCCAGTTGTACTAATCAATGGTGTCTTCTCTCAGTCTTAGAGCACAATTCTCAGGGCCTTTCCTTACCTCCTCCTACATCAAATCAGATCCACTCTTCCCCATACTTTTCCACCCTAGTGTGGACTAGATGAAGGGCCCAATGTCAACCTGATAAAATTGATTAAAACTTCACATTCTTAAGGGTGGAAGTGACTTCACATTCCTAAGGGTGGAAGTGATTTCACATGCATTATCTCATTGGAGACCCACAACTACCCTGCAGAGCTAGAAGGATCCGTACTATCCCTGCCCCCCAATTTTTTTCTTGTATGGAAACTGAAGCTCAGAGAGAAAGGAGTAAGACAGTACATCTGTCATTTATTAGGGGCAATATTAGTATTGTGTCCAGAATTGGGGGGTTCTTGGTCTCACTGACTTCAAGAATGAAGCCATGGACCCTCACAGTGAGTGTTACAGTTCTTATAGATGGTGTGCCTGGAGTTTGTTCCTTCAGACATTCAGATGTGTCTGGAGCTTTTTCGTTCTGGTGGGTTCATAGTCTCGCCAGTCAAGAGTGAAGCTGCAGACTTTCGTGGTGAGTATCACAGCTCTTAAAGGCAGTGCGTCTGGACTTGTTCTTCCTGGTGGGTTTGTGGTCTCGCTGGTTTCAGGGGTGAAGCTGCAGACCTTCCTGGTGAGTGTTACAGCTGATAAAAGCAGCAATGGACCCAAAAAAAAAAAACAGCAGCAAGATTTATTGCAAAAACCAAAAGAATAAAAATTCCACAGTGTGGAATGGGACTGGAGTGGGTTGCCCCTGGCTGGTCCCGGCAGCCTGCTTTTATTCCCTTATCTGGCCCCACCCACATCCTGCTGATTGGTCCATTTTACAGAGAGCTGATTGGTCCGTTTACAATCCTTGAGCTAGACACAGAGTCACAGAGTGCTAGTTAGCTAGATACAGAGTACCAATTGGCCTATTTACAAATCTTGAGCTAGACACAGAGTACTGATTGGTGTATTTACAAACCCTGAGCTAGCCACAGAGTGCTGATTGGTGCGTTTACAATCCTTGAGCCAGACACGGGGTCACAGAGTGCTAGTCCTCCAAGTCCCCACTAGGTTAGCTAGATACAGAGTACTGATTGGTGTATTTACAAACCCTGAGCTAGACACAGAGTGTTGATTGGTGCACATATGATCCTAGGCTAGATATAAAAGTTAAGTCCCCAGCCAGTTCAGGAGCCCAGCTGGCTTCACCCAGTGGATCCTGCACCAGGGCTGCAGGTGGAGCTACCTGCCAGTCTGGAGCCCTGCCTGCACTCCTCAGCCCTTGGGCTGTCAATAGGACCCTGCACCACGGAGCAGGGGACGGCGCCCATAAGGGAGGCTTAGGCCACCCGGGAGTCCACCGCAGGGGGAGGAGCTCAGACATGGCAGGCTGCAGGTCCCGAGCCCTGCCCCACCTGGAGGCAGCTAAGGCCCAGCCAGAATTTGAGTGTGAAGCCGGCGAGCTGGCACTGCGGGGGGACCCAGCGCAACCTCCGCAGCTGCTGACCCGGGTGCTAAGCCCCTCACTGCCCTGGGCCTGCGGTGCCGGCTGGCTGCTCCGTTTGTGGGGCCTGCTGAGCTTCTGCCAGCGCAAACCGGAACTCATACCGTCCGGTGAGCGCAGCCCCGGTTCCCACCCGCGCCTCTCCTTCCACACCTCCCTGCAAGCAGAGGAAGGAAGCTCCGGTCTCAGCCATCCCAGAGAGGGGCTCCCATGGTACCCTGGCGGGCTGAAGGGCTCAAGTGCCGCCAGAGTGGACGGCAAGGCTGGAGGCCAAGGAGGCACTGAGAGTGAGGGCTGCTAGCACATTGTCACCTCTCAGTATCAGGCATTGTGCCAGCTCCTCTATTGGGCATTATCTCACTTAATCCTCAGTTCAACCCTATAAGGTTGGTAATTGTATCCATTTTGCAAGTGAGAGGCTGAGGCTCAGAGAAGTTAAAGGACTTACTAAAAATCACAGGCCACAGTGTGGCAGAACAGAGCCAACATTCAGACACTCATAAGTCCAGAGCGGGTTTTCACTGCTAGAACTCTAGGACTCAAGCTCAAATCAATCAACTCCTAATTTTATGGTTCTTCCAGTGGCCACGCTGTCTAGTCAGAAAATACACCCTACAATCTCTCCCCAAATCTCAAAACATGGGCCCTGTTGAAATGCACACAGCTCTGGGAGTCTCCTAGAGGCAGGACAAGGGCTGGCGATGTCTGAGGGCAGCTAAGGAGATATTTGGAAATCTATTGGAAACTGCATCTTCCTGCGCTGTGCTGAATGTCCAGGTATCTGAGAATACAGTGAAGGAAAATTAACCGAATATTCAAATCTCTACAGAATGCCTACCTTGAGTCCCTGAATTCTTTTTTATGTAGGACAAGGGTGGTAGGGGCCACTCAGAAAGAAATCTGAACACGCAGAACCCTTGGACTTAGAGCTGGTGGGGGTCGTAGGCAGCCAGCCCACTTCCAACGGACGGTGCCCACTACCCTTTCTTCTCAGAACCGAGCCAAGAAGGATGGCTCAGCGGCCCGACTGGAGCACCTCTGCCTTCCTCGGCTGCTGGGTGTGTCTCCAGGGATTCCTGTCCACGGAACTTGCCTCTTCCCTCTTGTTCAGTCGGTTTCCCAACCTGGGAGCGTCTGCGGATCACGGTATTTGAGAGGCTGGGCTGAGGTGGAGAAGAGGGTGGGGCAGGAGCACCTAAGTCGCTCAAGGATTTGGTGACTCATACCCAGGGAGGGGGGCCCTCTTTCTCCCCAGCATTTGGGGCGCCCAAGGCTGTTCCCACCCTTAGCGGAGGATGCCCCTGTCATCCCCCAAGGTGCCTGCTCAGAGTGAGCCAGCTACAGCATGGCCACCACGAGGCCGGTTACGTATTTATTTCCTGCCAGAACTGAACCCCAAACGCTTTTCCTTCTGTGCTGTGCGTGAAAGAAACAGAAACCGCTGCACAGCATGTCTATATTTAGACCCTGGGCCCTGACCCTCCCACAGAGGTCAGCTTGTAGACTTTTCTTTCGGAGCCTGGGGATGGGTTTGTACTTCACCCTCGAGCGCCTCCCCCTGGGAACCCGCAGAGGGCTGGGTGGCTCTGCAGTCCTGTGTGCTAAGTGCTTTTCTTCGCTTCTCGGTGCTTGGGCCGTCTTGTAAGCAAAAGTAGGTGAATTGAATCCACCCTTACGCGATTGTCGTTTGCATTAAGATAATGCACGTGGAAATCTTTTGTGAGCTATGCAGTATCACCCAAATTATTTTTTATTATTATTTTAAAAATAGAATGCATCAGCAAGTTCTTTATGAGCTTACTTTTTTGTTTTAACATTTGGAAATTGGAGCAGCTACTTATAGAAGACTTGCGGATCCCAGAATGTGCCGTTTACCTGAGTGGTTTCTTTTGCACTTGCTGTGTCAGGACTTGTGAGTCCGGTGATGTCAGCAAATCAGCAAACAGACTCACACCTGAGCAGCCCGGGAGTGGTCTAGGGCCTGTGGAGCAAGCCAGAGTGGCCTCTTCTCAGCCTCCTCTCCACTGGAGAGCACTTGAGTTATTATTTGTTTCCTCCAGACCTCAGCCTCTTACCTCCTGCCAAATTCCTTTCAGAGGCATTCGTGCTGTATGCCCCAAGATTTTCCTCTGTTTACCTTCTTTAAAGTTGGCATGGTCTTGAATTTTAGACCACCGTAATCTCCATCTGACAGTGAACGTTCACAAATTCAAAGCAATTGCAGGATTCATATTCTGAAATTCATGTAAATGATTTGTGAGTACACATAAAACTCCTTTCTCTAAAATACAGAAAAAGAAAAATGTACAGCTGCTCAGGGTAACAAAGTATTGCCTTCTAGAAATTCTCAGGCTTCTTGTCTTTAAGGATAAACAGGAAGCATTTATAATTAGTGTCTCCGTTGTTTGCATATTGAGCTTCCAAAATGCTTTAGAAGGTTCATCTTTTCAATCCGCCCTTCCCAGTCCTTTATTTTTCATTTGCTAAGCAGAGGTAAACTTGAAACCATCTCTATGTGACTTCTCATAAATCCCAATTAGTGAGATCTCAAATAATGAACTTGGCTCTCATTTATACATGTGACAAAATGTATACCTAAATAAATATCTAATAAAAGCTCCCTAATAGCAAAATACCATGAAGAGAAGCAATTTTCCTCTCTTTTTCACACGATGGCTCTAATTAATCATACAGTACAGAAAAATAAGAAACCTTTTATGTAGCTTTTAGTGGTTTGGTTCATTCTTTAGTTTCCATCTGTGAGTAGCATTCATTTATAAACCTGTCTTGCTGAGCACGATGCTTTTAAAAATGACTTGCTTGTGACTCAAAAACAAAAAACCCAACAATCTTTGTAACTTTTAATCTCATGCAATTTCTTCAGTTTCTTTTGTTGGTGAATACACGTACAACTTGGTTTTGAAATACCATATATCAAAGCACAACCAAATCATCCCTTGGAGTCGTGAAGAAGCTCATCCATGTATCACAGTCTTCTGGTCAAGCCCATATTTCAGTGTCTCCCACAGCTCTGATTCTTGACCTCTAAGAAAACCCACCCTCTCACTCGTCCTGAACAGTTGCTCACTAGAGGACTAAGGGAAGGGAAAGATTGCTCCTTAAAGTGAAAAAACAATGTTTTCCAAAGCCGTGTTGAATACGCATATTCATCATATCACAGGAAGTTTTTCTTTTAAACCTAATGTGCATTTTCTTTAATTTGTATGGTTTTCTCAAGTTCAACATTCAGTTTTCGTTTTAATCAGTTATATTCTAAAAACAATGAAATGTTTTTCTCCTTAGAAATTCAATTTAAATTAAAAAGAACTTTTGTTTTTCCCTTCTTTTAAGGCACAAATAGTGCTGGGAGGGGGCGAGGGTAAACTTCTTTATCTGTCCCTGTCATTTTTTTTTTAAAGGTCCTGTTGCTTTTATACTTCTAACCCTAAAAAAGCCTTGTCATGCACCCAGTCTTCCCCTAGCTCTGGGCTTCCAGAGCACTGTTATTCAACAGAGAGTTTCTATGTAAATCCAAAGTACTATCTCCAAATAGCAGAAACCTTACCACCACAGGCTCTTATTGGAATTTGTCTGGAAGAATCCTAAAGCTAAATAAATAGAAGCTTCTAAATTACCTTTTTCCCCCCTTGAGTAGATCAAATTCTTAGAACTCCTGCCAGCCACCTGTACACCAGGAGCTGTGGGTGGGAGCGGGCGTGAGGCAGAGAGGGCTTCCTGTTACCATTAAATGGTAAAAGAGACCTCTACATATCAACTATGGCCTCTTTTTCTGGACTCTTCTCCTGTCCATTTAGTGTGAATATTTGAAGGTTAAACTGAGCATGGCCCCACATGTCTGATTGCTCACCCATCGACATACAACCTGAAGTCACAAATTTGGCTTCAGAGAATGTTGTGGAGCCGAAAGGATGGCAACTTCAATTTTCAATAAATAACTAGAAACAGAGAAAATAGCTTTCCAAGTCATCAAAGAAAACCCATGGTGAGAAGGATATCAATGGATTAGAAGAGGCATAAAGAGGAAACTGAAGGCAAAGCATTGACAAAATCTAGAAACGATTATCAGCCTCAGCTAAGTCTGATACTCACCTGCTCCGTGGACAGAGTAGGGAAGCAGCAGTTACAAGTTATGAGAAACAGCGCTGCAGTATTGTCGGGAGGCAAGGTGAGGGCTTTCCTTCCTCTTTGAGGGTCAGTTGGCAGTCTGGGGGCACACTGCTTCCAAAACGACACAGAACTGTAAACCTTTAACAATGGTTTAAAAATCTGCATGCTTCTGCTCTGTTGCCTGCCACCGCTGCCTGACAAGAGTGGTTCACTGCACTATGAAGACAGGCTCCAGATGCTTAGAACTAGTGCCTCCAATCCCAGATGCTAGGTCCGGCAAAGGCTCCATGGTTCTGGCCTATGGGGGTGGCCTGGACACCTCCTGCATCCTCGTGTGGATGAAGGAACAAGGCTATGACGTCATTGCCTACCTGGCCAATACTGGCCAGAAGGAAGACTTCGAGGAAGCCAGGAAGGCGGCACTGAAACTTGTGGCCAAACAGGTGTTCACTGAGGATGTCATCAGGGAGTTTGTGGAGGAGTTCATCTGGCCGGCCATCCAGTCCAGCACACTGTGTGAGGACTGCTACCTCCTGGGCACCCCTCTCGCCAGGTCCTGCATTGCCAGCAAACAAGTGGAAATCGTCCAGCGGGAGAGGGTGCCCACGGCACCACGGGTAAGGAGAACGATCAGGTCCAGTTTGAGCTCATCTGGTACTCGCTGGCACTCCCTCACAGATAAAGGTCATTGAACTCTGGAGGATGCCCGAGTTCTATAACCAGTTCAAGGGCAGTAATGAGCTGATGGAATACACAAAGCAACACGGGATTCCCATTCCTGTCACTCCCAAGAACCCATGGAGCATGGACGAGAACCTCATGCATATCAGCTGGGAGGCTGGAACCCTGGAGAACCCCAAGAACCAAGTGCCTCCAGGTCTCTACACGAAGACCCAGGAACCGGCCAAAGCCCTCAACACCCCTGACATCCTCGAGATCGAGTTTAAAAAACGGTCCCTGTGAAGGGACCAGCGTAAAGGGTCCCCGTGAAGGTGACCAACGTCAAGGATGGCTCCACCCACCAGACCTCTTTGGAGTTCTTCATGTACCTGAACGAAGTCGCGGGCAAGCACGGTGTGGGATGTACTGACATCATGGAGAACCACTTCACTGGAATGAAGGCCCGAGGTATCTATGAGACCCCAGCAGGCACCATCCTTTACCACACTCATTTAGACATCGCGGCCTTCACCATGGACCAGGCAGGAGGTGCGCAAAATCAAACAAGGCCTGGGCTTGAAATTTGCTGAGCTTGAAATTTGCCGGTTTCCAGCACAGCCCTGAGTGTGAATTTGTCCGCCACTGCATCGCCAAGTCCTAGGACTGAGTAGAAGGGAAAGCGCAGGTGTCCATCCTCAAGGGCCAGGTGTACATCCTTAGCCGGGAGTCCCCACTGTCTCCCTACAACGAGAAGCTCATGAGCATGAACGCGCAGGGTGATTATGAACCAATTGATGCCACCGGGTTCATCGACATCAATTCCCTCAGGCTGAAGGAGTATCATTGCCTCCTGAGCAAGGTCACTGCCAAATAGACCACTGTACAATGAGGAGCTGGGGCCTCCTCACTTTGCAGCTACCCCAAGTACAGGTGCTAACTGTTGTGATAATTTGTAATTGTGACTTGTTCTTCCCAGCTGGTAGCGTAGTGGGGCTACCAGGCCCCAGCTTTGTCCCTGGTCCCCTGAAGCCTGCAAACATCGTCATTGAAGGGAAGGGTGGGGGACAGCTGCGGTGGGTAGCTATAAAATGGCAATTAAAAGATACACTAGTAAAAAAATTGACTGCTCTGAAAACGAGTCTACTGGGCAGTGACATTCACCTTTCTGAAATTAATGCATACTCTATTTGCATTTTCTCTTTTTCCTGTCATCATCTTTGTCAATTAGTAAATAAATCCCTAAAGCTTGTAAATATTATTTTGGGCTAGCCATGGTTGCACCATCATGCCTATAATCCCAAAACTTTGGGAGGTAGTAGGGAGAGGACTGCTTGAGCCCATGAGTTCAAGTCCAGCCTGGACAACACAGTGGGACTCTTATCTCTACAAAAAAATCAAAAACTTAGCTGGGTGTGGTGGCACACACCTGTAGTCTAGCTACTCAGGAGGCTGAGGTGGGAGGATGGTTTAAGCCTAGGAGTTTGAGGCTGCAGTGAGCTGTGAACACACCCCACTCCAGCCTGGGTACCACATTAGTTATATGTGTTATGTTAAAAAGAAATATTTGTCCTTATGAATTAATGATTAAGCAAACTGTATATCCATACAATGAGATATGACTAAGCAATAAAAACAAATGAACTGATGCATGCAATCACATGGCTTATTCTCAATGCATTATCCTAAGTGAAAGAAGCCAGACTCAAAAGGCTACATACTGTATGATACCACTCATAAGACAGTCTGGAAAAGACAAAACTATTAGGACAGAAAGCAAATCATTGGTTGCCAAGGGCTAGGTAGAGAGGTTGACTACGGAGGCATGAGGAAACTTTTTTCATATGATGTAACTCTTCTGTATCTTGATTGTGGTGGCGGTTACACTACTGTATACATTTGTTACAACTTGTAGAACTATGCACTAAAAAGGGCTAATTTTACTCCATGTAAATTATACCTAAAAACAAGTGTATCTAATTCCATCAAATTGATGGGTTCATTTCTACATAGTTACAGACCTTTTTTTTTTTTAAGTTTAATATTTATCTTTCCCCTGGCACCAACTTTCTCTTATAAACCAATTACCTGATCTGAAGCATTAAGGAATTTAGGATTGTTTCATGTAATAGGGTGGATTTCAATCTGGTCTCTCACTGACTCAGACTATAGACAAACTCCTCAGCTAAATGTTGGGACCCTCCACAGTCTTGCCACATTTACCACAACTTTAATTTCCTTTTTTTTAAAATCTTAAAATTTTTTTTTTTTTTTAATTCTATAGGTTTTCTTGGGAACAGGCGGGATTTGGTTACATAAGTAAGTTCTTTAGTGGTGATCTGTGAGATTTTGACTCATCAATCGAGGAGTATACACTGAACCCAATTTGTAGTCTTTTATCCCTCAACCCCTTCCCACCCTTTCCCTCTGAGTCCCCAAAATTCTTTGTGTCTTTCTTATGCCTTTGCATCCTCATAGCTTAGCTCCCACTTATGAGTGAGAATATACAATGTTTGGTTTTCCATTCCTGAGTTACTTCACTTAGAATAATAGTCTCCAATCTCCCCCAGGTCGCTGTGAATGCCATTAAGTCATTCCTTTTTATAGCTGAGTAGTATTCATCGTGTATGTATACCACAATTTCTTTATCCACTCATTGATCAATGGGCATTTGGGTGCCACAACCTTAATTTCTATAATCCCCTTGCATGATCCTTCTTCTTAAACAGAGCTGGTCTCCTCACTCCCTCTAGCACTCAAAGCTCATACCTTTTTTCATATAGTCACCCTGTCCAGAAATGCATTCCTCTCCTTTCTTCTTCCTCCTCCTCATCTCACTTCTATCATCAATAAATACTCACGAAATGAGCACTGTCCTATATGCAAAGGAAACAAAGATTAAACTAGCTGGACACAGTGGCTCACACCTGTAATCCCAGCACTTTGGGAGGCCAAGGCGGGTGGATCACCTGAGGTCAGGAGTTCGAGACCAGCCCGGCCAACATAATAAAACCCCATTTCTACTAAAAATACAAAAAATGTAGCCAGGCATGGTAGTGGGCACCTGTAATCCCAACTACTTGGGAGGCTGAGGCAGGAGAATCGCTTGAACCCAGGAGGCAGAGGTTGCCATGAGCCAAGATCACGACACTGCACTCCAGCCTGGGCAACAGAGAGAGACTCCGTCTAAAAAAAAAAAAAAAGAAAAGAAAAGAAAAGAAAAAAATTAAACTAGACATGAACTTTGTCCCCAAAGAGCTTCCAGGAAATAGGACTTATAACAGCATGTTAAAAGTTGTTTTGACAATATTATTTGTGAATTTTATTTTCTTTTATCTCATTGGGACTATCTAATTTTGGACATTGAATACCTGTTTGGTAGTACGAGGGTGAGGCAGAGATTAAGGATTAATAAATGGTTTGGACTAGAGGTTGTTAGACTTTTGGAAGTGACAACTAGACATTAGGATATCAAAAATCAGAGATTGCCAGTGTCAGAAAGGACCTGGTGGGTGGAGATACCTTGTGGAATCTCATTACAAATGGCAGATACATCCATCTTAATCTATGTTGATGCTCTCATTCACAGTAAGAATCAGGATGAATATCACATTGACTTATTGGATAGCACAGGGAAAATTTACTCTTGAAGAAGGCTAATTAATTGCAATGAGCAGATTCTAGGAGGAAAAATATAACCTATCTCAGGAAGGCTCCTGCATGTTTTATTTCAAATCCTGCTTAGTTGTGTTTTCATTCTTAGTTAACTAACTCAGAAGGATCTTTTAGCTGAGGGAAAAGTGTTCTTTTTTTTCTTGCAGAATTTTCACTAACACATAAGGAGACATTCTGCTTGTTTATTATAAACTATTTACTTGGTTGTTTATTCCAACAATAGCAAATTAACATTGTCCAGAAAAACCTTTAATACTAGCTGATTTTTAATAAGACATATTTTAATACATAATCTTGGAAATAATTTTTAAAGTAAAGAACAATACAAATGAGACATAAAAATATCCTGTAATCCCACTATCCAGATATAACTATTAATATTTTGAAGTATGACTTCCTAGTCTTTTGTTTATATACATATTATGTATATAATTTGGTATATATACATATTTTGGTAGTCTTCTTTCAATTAATGTAATATAAAAATATCCCCATGATAACAAGAATTCTTCAAAAAACTGGATTTTTAATATGGTAGCTATAGTATATCATCATACTTATTCACATCTTTTTCTTTTTTCTTTTTTTCTTTCTCTTTTTTTTTTTTATTTTTTTGAGACAGAGTCTCACTCTGTTGCCCAGGCTGGAATGCAGTGGCACAATCTTGGCTCACTACAACCTCTGCCTCCCGAGTCCAAGTGATTCTCCTGCCTCAGCCTCCCAAGTAGCCGGGACTACAGGCGCGTGCCACCACGCCCGGCTAATTTTTTGTATTTTTAGTAGAGATGGGGTTTTTCACCGTGTTAGCCAGGATAGTCTTGATCTCCTGACCTCGTGATATGCCCGCCTCAGAGCCTCCCAGAGTACTGGGATTACAGGCATGAGCCACTGTGCCCGGCTGACATCTCTTTCTAACTTTTCACTAGAATTAATATCTTTATACAATTATTAGCTATGTTCCTGATTATTTTCATAGAAAAGACTGCTTTATGTTTGATCCTAGAGTATAAATCAAAGGGCATACATTTTTTAAGGCTCCTAATACATATTGCTAAATTGCCTTCCTTGAAAGTGGTAATAATTTATTCTGAGAACATTACAGTATGCCTGCTTTCCTAACAACCATGCCACATATTAAGAGTATTTATGTTAAAAATATATGCATTTGTCAAATGTGGAACCACTTGTGCATCAACAAGAATAATGCTTGCAATGGGTTAAAATACATCCAATATAAAAATCTATGAATTCCTAATGAAACACAAAACATCACTGCTCACCTTTGAAGGTTGCCAGGACACTAATTTGTTATTCTAAATATATATTTTAAAGAGATTGATCACATATTTGTTCTTTCTTTCCTGTTTGAACTGTATTTCAAGCTAACTAACTAGATGATGAGAAAATCCCAGCTAATAGGTATATAAGTAATAATAAAACTTATACCATCACTATTTTGCAATCCTCATGAAATGATGGATGGAGACAATGATCATCAATAGATATCCACACTCTCAATGAAAGGTTATTGGGGAACTTTATAATAGAGAATTCCAACTGACATTACCTGTACCCGCAAATCAATCTTAATATCACGTTAAGGAGGACAACTAGGCACGTGCTTCAAGATTTGATTAATATAGCATCATACAGTGTCACCTATTATCTTGCCAAAAATAGAACTGGGATTTAATCAACTCTAATCTAATCTAGATCTTACTACTAGTTTACAGGAAATCCTAGGAATAGAAACAAGTTAGGCAGCACTGGAGGAAGCAGTTAGTGCAAACCAAAATGTGGAAAATTCTACAGGGCAAATGATAGATTTTTAAAATAAATACATTGTGTTTGTTGGAAGGGGTGAGAGGTATAATCAAACAATTGGTTAAGGAGAGTTCTACGTAGAAAAAATATCTGCTTTTAAAGGAGAAAGAAAAACTGGACAATAAAGTCTTATTTATTACCTATTTGAAAGCTAATAGTATTCAATGAATATCATATGCAAACTGTTTTGGTGGTAGATTATTCTGTGTACGAGAGGGTTTGCTTCTGTCAAAATTTAAAACCTTTTCTTTGTTTCTGATTTTCCAAGAGGAACATATTTCAATTTGCTCTTTTCACGTAAAGCATTAGGAAAAAGTCTTCTGAGCTAACCAAGATCATTTATTACATTTGAAATTGCAAGGTCAATTCAGGCACTCTGGGTAGTAACCATCAGGTGGTGCCGCTTTACAGCTTTTCTCAACCCAACATGAAACACTTCAGACTTTGAAATAAGCAAGGAGGTAAGAGTAGTCACAGGAAACTGATACAGTCACCAAATACTTAAGCTCAATGCTATGGCTTCCCTAGGTGATATTATGAAATTACTTGTATTTCTATGTTCGTCCTACCTGTTGTCATCCCTCAGTACTTAGAGATTTTAAGCAGAAATGTGTTTTAACTATTCTACTAAGAACCAAAATACCAATTTTGAGCTTCCAAGAGAATATTTCCATCATAGGAGTCTTAAAGACTTTACAGAACTTTTCATTTTCCTTTTGAAACCAGTGCAAGGCCACTGGGCTGTGCCGGGGTCCACTCCGTCACTTTGCTGGTTCCTGCATTCCCATCTGTCAAAAAACTGTTGTGAGCTAACTGAGCTCCCACACCACAACTACCACTCTCC